GACATAATAAAGAGCAGAGCAGAAATAAATAAAACTGAGAAGAGTAAAACAATAGAAAAAAAAAATCAATGAAACCAGGAGCCGGTTATTGGAGAAAATAAACGATAAACCCCTAGCCAGACTTATCAATAAAATAAGAGTATACACACATAAACAAAATCAGAAATGAAAAATGAATAATCACAATGGACACCAAAGAAATACAAAGAATTATTAGAGAATACTATGAAAAATTATATGCCAATAAACTGGACAACCTAGAGGAAATAGACAACTTTCTAGAAAAATACAACCTACCAAGACTGATCCAGGAAGAGACAGCAAATCTGAACAGGCCAGTTCCCAGCAATGAAATCGAACTGGTAATCAGAAAGCTACCTAAAAACAAAAACCCTGTCCAAGAGGACTTCATAGCTGAATTTTATCAAACATTTAAAGAATAGCTATTACCATCCCACTTAAAGTATTCCAAAAAGTAGAAGAGGAGGGAATACTCCCAAACTCATTCTATGAGGCCAGCATCACCAAACCAGACAAAGACACCATAAAAAAAGAAATTACAAACTAATATCCCTGATGCACACAGATGCAAAAATACTCAACAAAACAAACCGAATCCAAAAATAATAAAAAAGATCATCCATCATGACCAAGTGGGATTTATTCCAGGAATGCAAGGATAGTACAATATTCATAAATCAATCATACATCACACCAACAAAAAGGACAAAAATCACATCCATTCATGCTGAAGAAGCATTTGACAAAATTTAACATCCATTCATGATTTAAAAACTCGTAACAAAATGGGTTTAGACAGTATGCACCTCAACATAATAAAGGCCATTTGTGACAAATCGACATCCAACATCAGACTTAATAATGAAAAGCTGGAAGCTTTTCTTCTAAGATGGGGAACAACATAAGGATGCACATTCTCAACACTTTTATTTGACATAGTCCTGGAGGTCCTAGCCACAGCAATCAGTCAACACTAAGAAATAAAAGGCATCCAAATTGGGAAGAAGTTAAACTGTCACTAATTGCAGATGGCATACATAAAAAAGCCTACAGTGCACAAAAAAACTACTAGAACAACTGAATTCAACAAAGTTGCAGAATAGAAAATTTATACACAGAAATCTGTTGCATTCCCACATGCTAACAATGAATTAGCAGAAAGAGAAATCAGGAAACAACTCCATTTACAACTGCATCAAAAAGAATAAAATACCTAGGAATAAACCTAACCA